AAGCCCGCAAGGCCAAGGCCAAGGCCAAGGTCTGGCCCAAGAGGACTCCGGACAACTGTCGGTTTTCGACTTGGCATCCTCTCGACGCAACAAGCTGCTCGCGAGGTTGTGTAGGCGTCATGGCGCTGTTCTTGAGTGGTGAGCTTACCTGCAGTTGGTGGATGAATCAGTGCAAGCGTCGTAGCCCCTGTCTGAGCTGTGAAGTGAGCCGCATGTGCAGGAGTGAGTTTTCTGCAAAGGTCTGAGTTGTCGAATGTTGACATAGTGCTCGAAAGGACTTCGTTGTCAAACAAGATGTTACGAAAGAGGCTTTATTGTCCACTTAATTGAATGCAAGCTTGTGCAAGTACTTCCTTCCTATTCTCGCGAAGAGACCTTGTGTCCGCTCAATTCGGTGCTTGTTGCTCTGATATTCTGTTTTCTAGGGTCTAAGGTTTGCGGTGTTGAGAATCTTCCGCCGCTGCATGGCCGGTCTGTGATGGCCGGGGTCGACGTTTATCGTTTTTCTATCTTGAAAGTGGAGGTACACGAGGGAGCCGATTTGGTTCACCTCAAGTAGACTTCCGTAGGCCGTACCTGCGTGCAGACGGAAAAGAACCCTCAAAGAACTAAGCCCTAAACTTCTAACGCCCTTAGCCGCAAACCCTAAACTTTAAACCCTAAACCTTAAACCCTATACCCTGAACCCCTAAAGCCTTAAAACCCTAAACCGGGAAACCTAGAGCCGTCGAGGCTCCACCGGTCTTCTCTGTGGGGAGTGCCCGGCTGGCTACGCTCGGGATCAGCCGCTGATCAACAGTTGGGTGTAGGGCTTGAAGGGTTTAGGGTTTAGGGGTTCAGGGTTTAGGGGTTTAGGGTTTAGGGTTAGGGGTTTAAGGGTTTAGGGTGGTTTAGTGAGGTTTCGGGCCCGGGTGTCTAAATTCAGGCTCAGGGTGCTGGGCTTCAAGTTTAAAGGTTGACCAGAAGATAGGGTATTCAAAGGCTATGCACAAGGTCCGTAGCAGAGCGAGCATGTGGACCCGGTTTGCGGGTTTGAAGCAGATATTGTCGGGTTCTGATTGGTGTCCCCCCGCCTCCCGCCTGCCAACAGGTGGTTGAAGAATGCTGCACTCAGGGGCGGCCTCCGGCAAAGTCTGGGGAATAGTGTTTAATTTAGTGTTCGTATTAGTGTTTTTTGCAGCAGCAATAGTAATGTTGATAAGCAAAGTCATACTGTGTATTTTAGCACCAACGAGCAAACCCTAATCCCTGCACCCTAAATCTCACCCGGACGGAAGCCCTGACGATACAAACCGGCAAAAGCGAAGCCTAGCAGTCGAAAGGCACGTAAACGCCGGCATAAAGCGCAGGCATGCATAAGAATACTTAAGCAGCCTACGCCATAAATCCTCGAGGAACCCCTTATTGAAATCAGCATTGAAATCCTGCGACTCCCAAGGTATCCTAACTACTGCCGCACTTGCCCGGATAACCCATCCGTCTGGGTGGGAGCCGCATCCTTGGCTAGGGCGCTTTTCGGGTTTAGGGTTTAGAGGCTTTTATCAGTATTCATGTCTTGTTATTCGTGCTGCTATGTATGTAAAGTCTTGCTAGTAGTACTACAGTTGACATCGTTATCATCACGATTATGCCTGCTGTCAAAGTTAGTTATTAGGAATACGATTCATTTTGTTATGCTTTTCATGAGGCCTCTGATTCTTGCCAGCTTTTAATGCAGCGTTTAGGGTTTTGGAATTTAGGGTTTGCGGTTGCAAAGCTTAGGTTAGGGTCCACAGTTTCAGGGTTCAATTCGGGTTTCGTCGTCTGGGTTGCGCAACTTTGTTGTGGAAGGGATGAGGGAGGGGTTCGGTGGGGTTTGGGGTTTCGGGTGCAGGCATGTAGGAGAACTTTTTGCTTTGAGACTTCATGTTCCTGGCATGTTTAGGTTTCTGCAGTGATGCTGCCTGTCTCGACTGCCCGCAACGCAACAACAACATGTCTCTGGCCGTAAACCCTAAACCCTAGCCCCTAAGCGCTACACTGCTAAATCCTAGACCATGAATCAGGGAGTCGGGAACTCGAGTAGAGACCAAGGTGCGAAGTAGGGCTCAGGGTTTAGGGTTGTTTAAAGTAGAGTCATAGGTACCTTAGAAGCGACCCTAGATGCTTCGGATGGGATTCTTCTTCCCAGGAGCAATGCTGATGAAACT